GTGTGAAATATTGAAGCATTTAGGTTGCTATATAACTAAAGCACTAATATAGTTTGGAAATTGTTACTTTAATAAGACACTGCATTATGAGATAAAAGTATAACCTTCACATGGTTGAAGTGTGTGTATGAATTCACTTCATTATTAAATGCACTTCTGGGGAGTTGTGCCTAGCACTGCTCTGCTTAGAGGGAGTAATCAAAGGGAAAGTAAATTAAATGCACTTAAAAGGATAAGTTTTAATAATATAATCTTCACAATCTCACAGTATGCTTATTAAATCGTTGTGTGTGTGCCTGATTTATCACAAGAATGTAACTTTGGTTTCAGGGAGGTACAGCTGTGTATTATGAGAAAGAATTTTGGCTAACATCAATTGGTCTCAGCTGTATGATCAGCATGAGTAGGAATGTGTAAGGAGGAGGGAAGAATAAACTAGCCGACCTAAAGTAGCAAGTTAAATTTGGTTGTTAGCAAATGGGGGGAGACAGAGGATGAAGGGTAATGAACTAATGATTAAATTTAGATTTCATTCATTTAACAAAACAAAAAAAGGGCTTTAACCCTACTCCATTAATTGCTTTTCATTAATTGTTTCACTTTCACAATCCCTCAGGGTTTTCTCTCTGTGGCGGCAGCACTTTCATCTTTCTCTGTGTTAGAAAGCTGTAATGTCACGTGCCATGCAGAGAATTCACCTGTGGAGAGAAGAAAGTCCACCACATGCCTTAGCAGGGGAGGACACACTTACAATATGTGCTCATATAAGCACACATGATCGCACACCACTCGACAGCAGGAGATTTTAATTCAGTCCTGCAATAAATTTACACTTTCACACTAAAAATCCAGCCTGTGAACAGAATCAGACCAGGAGTCACGCCTTTTACAGCTCAACATGTTAGTGAGAGCAAAACAACACAAAGTGCACAAATATCACACCATGTCACTGCACCTGTGTTTCCATAGCAACAGCCTCCTGAAGGGATAAAATAGGAATGAGACTGAATATGTCCACCTTAAAAATAAACGCCAGATAACAGCTGACTTTTAGAAAATGTTAACGTGATAATATTTGACATTTAATTACAAATAACGTGCGTGTTGCTTCTCTAACGCCAGCTCAAATAAAACACTGCTCTTTCTCTTTTATCAGACAGGCAGTTTTCTAGGACACCGTGCTTTATGTTTCCTAATGGACAACTGTTCAGGATGACATCAACACAAACAGACAGCTGTGTCTGAGTAAGAAGGTGTCACATCTGATTTTACCTCCGCACTTCTGTGACACATACACCAGTGTTCTTTGGCCTCGTTAGCACACTGAAGTTTGAACTACCACGGGTCACTGATCTTGTTCCTGGTTATGCATTACAGACAACTCTGTTTCTTCTCTAAGCAGGTCTTGACCGACTGTTTCAAATATGAAATCAAACATCAAATTCTGTTGCTCGAGGGTAAAGTGAGTTCTCTACAATAAACGGAAATATTTTCCCGGTGTTTGATAAATGCAGCATAAAGCCATTTGCTATTCACCCTGAATGTACAGCATCAAATCTGTACTGTGACTGTCAGCATGATGGTTTGAGCTGACACTGACCTTGCTGGGGCCGGGGGCCGGAGGGTTTCCAGGGGAGTGGAGGGTGGGGATGACCGGAGCAGCCAAGGGTGTCTGGGCTGGCGTGCTGGGCTCGCTGCTGCTCATCTCTCCAGCGGAGGCTGAGGCCGAGCCGGACGCAGCGCCCTTCCCTCCGGTGCCTGCAGGCCGGCTGGGCTGCTGAAGAAACCAAGGAAAAAGATGATGTGAAAAAAGGGGGATGCTTATAAATAAAACTGGGTGGATGCTGTAATGGCAGCAAAAATGTGAGAGCTGGCAGTCATCATCTCTTCTTCTAGTCACCGCTACCATTAGGTATGTTTACAGACACAGAGCATCCCATTTTCTATCTCTGTGTACATGATAATGACAGGAGTTGGGTTTCTGATCGTATGCCTGCAGGTGAGTCTAGATTCTTCAACATCTCAACCATGTATTTCTGCACTAAGCTACCCCAGCATCTGGGAACTAACACAGTTTGGCTACTGGGTGAATCTCTACCACCGGTGGACTTTCCTTATATATGTGCATGTGGGATTTTTAAATGGCTCGTTTATCTTAAGAGGTAAGGTAACTTTCTCATTGTCTAAATGAATTTAATCTTTCAATTATCTGAATAAATTATTTTTTTTTTACCAAATTAGGGGATAAAAACAAACAAAATGACAGAAGTGAACTAAAGCAACTTAGCACCAGTTAAAGGCAAAAAGAAAATGTGTTAAAATCAAGACAATCACATGTTGAAACCATGAAGGACAGAGTTGTAAATAAACGTGTGAAGTAATGAGACTGCGCTAAATAAAATGAAAGGCCTACAGTACCGAGTAGGACCTTTGTGATGCTATTAACAAAAACTCATTCCTCTGATAAAACCAAAATGAATTAGCAACAGTGTACTGTAGTAACCTATGGTGATGTTTTAACAGCAAACACACAAACTGCTGCATGGCATGAAACAATAATAACACACAAATAATGCTGACTGGTAGAAAATTGAAGCCCTGACGACACTGAGGACTGGGCTCACCTTGGGCCTTCTGGCCGTGATCTGAGGAGGAGAAAGGTGAGGAGCAGGAAAAGGTCAGAGGGCAGCAGAGGAGGAGAGGAGGGAAACAAACAGCCAGGATTAGTGATTCAAGGCAAAGTTTATATTAACCAGGAAATCACAGACAAAAAGCACAAAATGGGTTGATGAAGCCAACGACCTTCACCTGTCTTGGAATTCAGCAACGTTACTGACAATAAACAGCAGAGAGAAAACCTCCTGTGAGTCCATGATCATGGACTCACAGGAGGTTTTCTCTCTCTCTCTTGTGCTAGCCGGTCTCCACATCCTTTTTTTTTTTCCTTTCACCCACGTGACTAAAACGCTCAGTAACAACATGGACACAGTGACTGGCACGGACACTAAATGACCACTTTGTCTCCGGTGATGCAGGGGATTCGGTTCATCTGAGCCCAGTTCTGTCAGGCTGTGCTTGTACTGTAGACAGCACTGAGATAACAGCTTGTTATCCTGCTGCATCTCGTGTTTTAGACGTACAACACAGCAAAGTGGATGAGAGCATCTTCAATGACGTGCAGGAAGCATCCATGTTTCCTCTAATGTCTCTGTACAGCAGACCTGGGTTAACACTTCTAAATGGTTTGAGGAAGACAGGACAGCCATGTCCACTGTAAAAAAAAATAGAGACTATCAAAAACAAAATTGGTTGATCTTTAACTCCTGTTTAAATAGGTTATGTTTCTCTAAAAGCTGGGAAATGTTTACAATCCATAGGCTTATGGGATCTTTCTGAATTCAAACTGTATTAACTTGCATATTGTTGAGCTGGGCAATAAATCCACAACAGAATCTATCATTTCTACATGTCATGAGAACAGGATTAGTATTATGTACAAACCAGAACTAACATCAACCACTAAAAAGTAAAAGTGGCAGCAATGATTCTTGAAATAGAAGCTGCACTTGCAGCTGTTCTGTAGCTTTTAATTATATTAGGGACCGTCAGTGCATTGTGGTGATGCTGTGGATCCTTCTTTCCTAATAACTTCATTATTTATTTCTCAGAAAGCTGCATGGAAATAAATATGTAATTTGGTATTAATTATATGAAAACCAGGTAAATTTATTACTCAACTAATGGAGTAATGTTTGGTGAAGGACTAGATTATGTTAGCTTACACATTACCAAGCTCACATAGATGTTATCAGAAAATTGTTATGAATTTATGGACCTGTAAAAATAAGGTGTTAGCTACTGATAAACATTACTTTTTGGAGAAAACTCCATCTGATCATGTGATACAATCGAAAGCACCAGTAAATGGACCCACAGTTCGCATTTGTTCTTAGTTAACAAACCACCTAACCCAGGTCTGTGCAGACACTTTGCACTGCCTTTTCTCTTCCACCTTTCACTGTGCACCTCGTGTCCTTTGCACACCGACTGTCTCTCTCTGCCTCGGTCTGGGCACGGCCATCACTTTGGAGAGTTATTGTTCTTGTCTGGATTAAGCCCGAGCTAACAGCCCTCTTACATTATAGTGCTGTAAATACAAGAACATGCTGTACTGAAGTCACATTAGCCTGTTTGCTGCATCTGCAACCAAGAGTGAAATGATCTAATTCTCCCCTGATGGACAAAATAAAAATCACTGACCATGTGAAAGGCTGTGGAAGACATGGCTTCTGTATGATGAGGCCAAATAAAAGATAAAGCTTAGAGTTTAGACAGAGAAACAGAACTGAACTTCACAGGAATTTAAGAAAAGGCCACTGCACATATACACACAGCTGGCAGTTTATTAGGTACACCCAGTTAGAACCAAGTCAGTCTAATCCAACAGTTCTGCAGTAACTCCTCCTTCATGAAGGTGATAATGTTCAGTTTTCATTCCAAAACAGTCTGGGCACAAACATTCTCCCCTGTATGAAGGGAGGATTTAACTGTTGTATACTATGCAGTAGTTAGAGCTTGTTGTTCCTAATAAACAGCCAACCGAGTGTCTGCACAATGTGAATTACTGAGAGGAACATAAACTGGCAAAACTAATCTGCAGGGACACTTCTGTTTCCACACTGGGAATATCTAATATCATGTGAAAGCAACAAAAGGGCAACTCCCATCAAAAACAAAATGAGGAATAACTGAAACTTCCAAGCATGACCTGTACAGCAGCTCTGCCAACAAAACAAATGAAGATGACAACAGCAACATCTCAACAGATAAGGACGATCGTATGATGTTCTGTACCTTCCGGGGTGCAGGAGTCTGTTTCATCATATTTGCAAGAGAAGAAGACATACAACAGTCACCAAGAAACACACACAAGTGATAAAACAGGCAAAAGTCCACAGAAAGACAGACAGCTGAAGCTGAACAGTCAGTCAAACAGGCAGCTGCTCAGGCTGGGGAGCTGCAGTGGTGCAAATGGCTGCGGTGATTTTTTTTTTCCCAGGCTCCCCCTCCCTGCCTCCGTCCGTCCCTTCCTCCCACTATCGTCCTCCTTTATGTCCTCTTTCTCAGCTTCTCTCATAGTCTGTTTGCCGGAGCCCTCAGTCGGCGCCTCCCTTTTCCTTTCAGCTCCGATTAGGGCTCTGGCAACCTGCTGCCGCGAGCCTCTAACCTGCTACTGTTCACAGGAGACGCCTCTCGTCGTCTAACCCGTCATTTGTCAGCCCGGCCAATGCCCTGCTCCTGCATTACATCACTGTGCAGCCTCCGCCCTCGTGCACACTGCTGCTCACCCACTCATCCCCACCTCTACCACAGACAGACAAGGAGGGAGGCAGTGATTGGGGACAGACAGAGGAGGGTGGGGCTGCAAATGAAGGGGAGAGGGGAATATGAGCAGCAACAACTGATGCAAGCCTCTCCTGTCTCCTAGCAACATTCACAAATCTCTCCTCCTTTCAATGAGGCTGACAAAAGCAGAGGGGAAACTTAACCTGGTCTGGATTTAAAATGCACAGTAATAATAGCAGCTTTCTTTATTTATTTTAAAAAAATACAGCTGGTGATATTCACGCAATCTGTTAGTGTCAACAAATGCCATTAAATAAAGAATTACTGTACTGCTTCGTAGTTGTATGTCTCTGCTAACCAGTCAAATTCACGAGGAAGGGACAAACATAGGGTCACTGTGACCTTGACCTCTGACCAGTAATCACCAAAATCTAATCTAAGTTCATCCTTCAAATCAACTGGACATTTGTGGCAGATTTGAAGAAATTTCCTCAATGTGTTTCTGAGGTGTTCACAAGAATGGGATAAACAAAAGGTCACAGTGACCTTGACCTTTGAACACCAAAATCTAATCAGTTCAGTCTCGAGTCCAAATGGATATTTCAGCCAAATTAAAAAAAAATTTCACTTAAGGTGTTTGAGACATTGTGTTCATGAGAATGGGCCGGACGGACGACTCAAAACCATAACACCTCTCCAGTCCGTCTCCACAACTTCTGACATCCCTACCCTGTCTGTGACGCTCAGCCCTTGAAGTGACAGAAGATCCAAAACCCCTTTCCCCACACCTGTCCGACAATTTAATTCCAAAACCAACAATGATGCAGTGATTTCCCAGCTGTGCTGAACTAAATTTTTCATGAGTCATACGACTATTCTTACATGTACACCCAGGCAATGCCGTCTGAAAGCGTGTGCCGTTAACCCCACATTTAAACAACTGCTGATTATTATTAGTCATCCCACCTTCTTCAAGTGTGGGAGTTCAGAACAGATATAAAAACTGTCACCGTCAGATGTGATTGGACACCACGGTAACTGAACTGGTTTGTTCTGAGCATGTACCCTCGCCTTAAGCCTGATAATCACACTGAAATGCCATTTCATTTCACTTCATTGTTCATGTATTACAGGTACCTGGATGACTGAAAATACAACAACAATAAAGGCAGCAATTCAGAACAAGGAGCAAGGCTGCCACAGAAACATCTCTGAAGGAAAACTCATTTCTGCTGTCTCGCTGTAATTGCCCACATACTGGCAGACCCTAGAACAGTCACATTTGTTCTAATAAAGGAGAACACAAGGAGTATGGATCTGTGCAAAATGGTTTAAAACATCCAGGATGATGGCAGCCAGAACTAAGACTCCAACAACATGGTAGTCCTGTTAAAGGTGATACTGACTGTAGTAAGAGTTCTTATTATTAATAGGTCACTTCATTCCTAAACAGCCATAAAGCATTTGAGTAGCTTCTTCCTCAGCTCCACTAATCTCATTCTGTGCAGCTCAGCAGAAAGAAAGAAGGATGTACAAGGAATAGCTCAGTGGAGAGTTTTAAACTCCAAATACTTTCAGGCTGTGGGCATAAAAATGGGCACAAGTCATTTAAAACCGCTGTGATGAAACTCAATAAAGTTATGGTGCAGTTTTTCTGTATGATAGCAGGTATTGTAGAAGAAAAATGTCTGGATTTACTGCTACTACTTCAGAGACAAGACGGCTGAAGCGGAAAGAAAACGAGTTTATGTGTATCCATCACAGAGCAGCTGATGGGAATCTGTCCTGTTCAATTATTAAACATCTCTGTAATCCCCTCACTCTTTCTCCACCACACAGTCTAAGTGCTGCTCTGAGAGGTCATCCACCGCTGGAGGCAGAGAGGATGATGGGATGGGTGGAGATATATCAAGTTACCGCCTTCCCATCAGACACAGGGAGGATCGCTGCCTCTGAGATCACTGCTCTGCAGCCTCCAGCAGGACAAGGGGGATCGAATTCACTCACTGAAATTCTATCTTGTCCTTAAACTGTCCATACACAAGAATCCAGATGAGAGAAGCTTTGACTATATAAAAATGTTGATAGGTTCATCTGAGCCACTTTCAATTGAAATGTATGCCCTGGGTTTGACCTCTCAGGTACCATAAAGGCTGCACACGTGCAAGTTGTTGGTGAGATGACTGAGGACCGAGAAACCAACACCACCTCTTGTGCGTGGTCTTTGGATAAAAGATTATTTAATCAGTGATTTTATTTCGAGTAATGGTTTGACACTTTGAGAAATGCACTTTTTGCATTCTTGTAGAGATTAAGATGAGAAGACCAACACTACTTTCATATCTTTACAGTAAACAAAGTTCATTAGACCAAGTGTAAAAACACTGGTGACAGACAGAGCAAGGCTAGCTGTTTGCCTATGTTTCCAGTCTTTATGCTAAGCTAAGCTAATCTGCCTCTGACTGTACCTTCTTTCCCTGAAGAGCCGTGAAAAGTGATATGAAAGTTCTCATATTTGCCTCCTCTCAAGAAACTGAAAGAGCGCATTTCCCAAAATATTTCGCTCACACACACACTACATAAAATCATCATAAGTCATCAAATCAAAGGTGGCGATAGTGTTAGTGAACCAAGCTCTGTCCTGATTTTAAAAGAAATATTTTTAGAACATTTATATTTCTTCCCCCTCATACTAGCATTATTATAAGAACTAGAGTAGCCAACGCCATCATACTGTTACTTGCTAGTTCAGTTTTTTTTTTTTTTTGTTGTCGTATGAGAAACCTCCGAGCTCCTTGTATCTTTATACTTCTAAAACCAAGCCCATGGTTTTCTGTTTCCATCTCCTTTGTCTGGATGTAGTCAGCTCTCTGTGGCTACACGCAAAGCAAAGCAAACCCCAGTCTAGGTGTGGCAGACTGTGAGGCTAGCTCAGGATTTGGCAGCCAAATTAAAGAGACTCCAGGATATTTAGAAATGTTTCAAAAAAAAAATTTAAATATACACATAACTCATCCACCTCCTCAGGGAACAGAAGTGTATTCATAAATAGCAAGGGAATGGTTTGTGGAGCTGAAACATAGGAAACTCTCAAGTCAAAGATAAGCAACAAGCAAGGAAACGTTTTCTGGCTGAGGTGAATTATTCCAATTATATTGTCTGTGTTGTGTCTAGAAATGGGATCCATCAGCTGTTTCAGATTTCCCTGCATGTTCTGAAACCTCAGTTAGATCTGGACTTCATGGCTGAATATTTAAGCACCGTGGTTCAGAATAAACTCTGCTCTTAAGGTTGAAAGTCAGCCTGCAGAGGTGGAGGCAATAAAGAAGAGCTAAGCTGGCAGGAAATCCATAGCCTACTCTGCAGGCAGGAGGGCGCCAGACTTCACCTCGGTCACAAGCTGACATTTTCTACAACAGAGCAAAGGAACGTCTGCATATACAGTGCATGACTCAGCAAAGGATGATTGTTAACCAGCACTGGACCCGATGGCTCGACATAAAATGCTAAGAGTCACAGGGAAATTATACTTTCATGGAGTCTTGTTTGACGTATGTTCAGCCAAAACGTTACGTTGGCACTCGATCCCCTTGTGGAGGGGCTGCTCAAAAGTGGCCCAGGTGATTGGCTAATGTTATTATTGACCCACTGCATGTCAACCATGGATGTCAGAGGCTGCTGTTTCACTAGTATGTCCACTCATTACGTCTTATTTGTCTATTATGCTCTAGTCCACCACCTAACACGTGCATTCAGTAGTGTGTTTTTGGCAACATGTAAAACTTGCCAACTCATTTGAAACGGCGCCATGAAAATGTGATTATCACTGCTGCAAGGAAAAGAAACCAGTGTAGTACAAACACTGTTTGTTCATCATGTAAACAGCCTTTCCCTGGTTACTGGAGCACTTATTAGTAATAATTAAGAGCAATGTTCTATTTTTTTATCCTATATATTGTTTCATTTAAAATATTATTTAAAAAATGTACCTGTTGATGCTTACAAAAGCTCATAATAAATGACAAGCAATGTCAAATACAATGACTTGTATTTTCTTTCCCTTAATGAACCGAATCGTGGTCTTTGTGCACCACCCTGCCAGAGTCTACAGCTGAATATTATGCATGCTCCTACATGAAGACCAAAAATGAACCACTGATATTACAGATTTCCTAGACGTCGCTAGGTGTTAATATAAAACTACACATATGATTTGGGAACTACCTGGGCACTGATCATGGATATGTCAGGGTATTGATGAACTAGATGAGAAAGCCATTCTTCTGTTTCACTGTGACTTCAACATGCACAGGCAGCAGACAGACATTAAGGCAACAAAACACACACACCATGTCCCGCAGAGGTGAACCAATGCAAACAGACCAGAGCAGAGACCATGGTGAGATGACAAGAGGTCAGGTGGTGGACTATGGACAGCACAGGCATCATCTCTCTCTCCAGCAGCGTCCATTTCCCCTCACATCAACACAAAGCAGTGTGGTGACAAGGCTATGGATGAGGGTGTGGTGGGCTGAGAGGAATCATGGGTAAACTAGTGGTGAGGCCTGGAGGCCATGCGGCAGCAAGGCCATTTAGAGCCACAGTTACTAAACATTACCACTGTACCGAGGTTAGAGAAACATGCAGCACCTTTTTGGGCTTCACTCCTCGCTGCACGGTGGAAGGAAAGAAGGAAGGGAGAAAAGGAAAGGAGGGAGGGAGGGAGTTAAGTTTAAAGTTGATGTTTTCAGTGACATGCCGGAGGTGACAAGGAGTGCAGCGAGTCGGTGCTCTCTGCTGGTGGGCCATAGCTTAAATAAACAGCACGGGAAATCTTCACAAACATCTTTACCTCACTTACGCTCGTGTTTATTCTCAATCAACTCAAACCAAACAAAAACATCCCTGATGTGTTATTAAAATCAACAAAGTCTCAATATAAAGATTCTGCTGATGTTCTCAGGTTTGCTTGATGCCAGGAGCCATCTTTTTATAAACATGACATGCATTCCTGTGCAATAAACCTGCCGAGTACTTCTCAGCAGTGTGCGTTGGTGAGAGTGCAGCTACACACCAGGTCAAGTCATCTTTAATTTAATTAACAAGCTTAAACTAATCACAGGGGAAATTTAACAGTTTAATAATCAGATACCTTATCGAAATGAACACAGTGCCTTTATGAACGAACATCGCCCTCTGCTGGTCAAGTAAGAAAACAAAACCTTCAACCTGTTTGTTCACTTGGAAACAAATTTCAGGGATTATTTAAGATTAATTGAAGGAAATATATTTATCTCCATAAATTGGAGACTGGAAGTCTGTAATTCAGTTATTTAGACTGTCAGTCTTTTAAATATTTTTAGATTTAGGGAAGAAGATAGCGTAATTATGAAAGGGAGAAAAAAGCAACAAGCATTTCTACCTCTTTTTGTTTCCTCTCTATCCCTTTACAGACATGCAGAGAAGAGCATATGGAGATATTCTGCAACATTCAAAGTGTAAATTACCACTTCTAGGTTGCAAACTGTCAGTGTGTCCCTACCTCACACACAAAAGATGCACAAATAAATAACCTTGACTGCAGGCAATATACTTCTCTTGCAGGTTACCAAGTATCTTCACACCCTTGCTACAAACATAAACTGTGAAATTTGCAGGTGTTTTAAAGCCAGGATCAAAAACATGAACTCTCAGTGCTGAATCGCCTGTGGCACCATGCAGGTAATATTATCCTTCAACAGGAACAGTCAGTGTTTACTTTAGATAGCGCAGAGTTTGTCTAGGTGTGCAGGTTAGGGTTTTTATGCAGAGTGTGAGTGTGTGTACAGGTGATCGCTGCGATTATCTGCTCCTGATGTCCTGCAGGGGAACCTTATGCCACAGTGCTCGTTAGACTCACCAGTTTATTGGACTTGGGTGTCTCCAGGATCTCTGAACAGATAAGAGAGGAACAAAGGCTGTCAGTGACAACATCTAACATCACAATAAAGGTTTATTATCCTTTACAAGGTATAAAGTCCTACATGGATTCTGATGCAACACAATTTATGGTCTTTTCATCACATGGTCCACAGTGATACAGGAAGTGTTTGAGGGCACACAAACCACATTTTGGGTGCAACTCAGCTTTTGAGACCACACAGACACATACTTAAGCTCAGAACCAGTTTTGAGAGCTTAATCCTGCGTGCACTCGTTTCTGAGTCTACTCAGATTTCTTCACTGAGTTTCATGTGAAAGTCCGTCGGCATCAAAAGTTTTCAAAGTGCACAAATGTTTCGAGCACAATTCAGTTTACAAATCAGAATCTGAGAGCGAGGGAGGACCGGGTGGTGAGTATGCTGGGAAAAAAAACACTTATCCTGCATTCAAAATCCAGGCCCTTTGTCAGATTTGTACTTTGCACTCTCTGTTATCCGAAGAATAAAACTGTGTGGCAAAGATAAACCCAGGTGACGTATTAAAAGGAGTAAAGGGTCCACCATTGCTGCGCATGTGTGGCGTCCAGACTGTGGTGCTGCACCACTGCTGTACAGGATACAGCATGAACTTGCTGATTCTGGCTACACACACACGACACTATGTGTGCTCACAAACTGCAGCACTTTTCATATTTTGTTTTTTTCTTTGCTCTCAAATATCAACACACTTTGAGAACGCATGTCCCCAAAGCAACCTCTGTGTCCGAAAGGTCAGGACTGACACTGTGCTGTAGCGACTGGTCACTGTTAGATACACCTGCAGAATACTACTCAACAGTGACCAAGGATAAAACCTTAAGACCGTGTTAATGTGTGTCCTTACCTCGTTTGGGGACCTTGCCAGTGCTGGGCTCTGGCGTCTCCGGAGACGTGTCTGCTCCATCATCAACAAGCTGGATCTGAGACAGAGACACAGCAAGAGACAGTCAGTCTTCCAGAACATCACAGGTTTATATTCATTAGCAGAGAGAAGCCACAAAAATACAATTGTTTATTGATATTCCTTCAAATATAGCACTACCTCCGTCACAAGTAATTTATCCCCATTTCCATAGCAACAATAACAACTGCACTGCAGGGGAAGCCGGTCTTTCAGTCCAAGTGGGGGGCATAAAAAAGAGGTTTGGTAACACAACACCTAATTGACACTGCAGCTGACTTGTGTTTGGGTTTGTGTGTGTACAGCTGGATGAACTTGAAACTCAAACTCACCTTTACAACTTCAGTTAGTGCCTTATTCTTTTATGCTCCAGGGGCCAGATGTATAAAACTCTGTGTAGATTCATAACTAAAACTGTGTGTATGCACTAAAGGAAGAAGTGAGTACATAGGTTGTTTTCGTCAGATTTATAAAGCCGCAAGTACGACTGGTTCTGCTTTAGAAAACAATTGTACCAACTTCTTTTCCACTCCCACCTTTATCCATAAATGGATGTAGACACCCCTTTTATTAGTCATTTGCATACAGAGACGGTCTCTGAACCATACGGTATTAGACATGACAGTGAAAGCAACACTAAAGAAGAAGTGCTATTGACATGTTTCTCAATTTAGGGATCACAAATGGAACAAAAGCTGCTGAATGGCAAAACACAGTACACACAATGTTTAAAAATAAACTTTGAGCTGAAATGTATGTAAACAGCTACCAATAATGCACGGTTTAAAATGGCCTTCACCATATCACACCTACTCAAATCGTGTGTACACATGGTCTAAAGTATGTGTGAGCTGCGCACAGTCTTCCTTTCCTATACACACATGGTCTAAAGTATGTGTGAGCTGCGCACAGTCTTCCTGCACACTCCGTTTATATAAGCCAGCTTATGTATAGGAAAAGGTGTATGCATGGTTTTTGTGTGTACCCTAGGACATTTACCTGTTTCTATTAAACTAGTATGTACAATAGAGTCCATGTAAACTCTGTGTAAGCCACTTCATCTCTCCAACCCCTTGATTGTTCTCTCAAGCATATGGGTGTCTCCCTTCTGACTTTCTCCTCCTTATCCTCTCTTTTCACTCAAGCAGAGGAGCATCAGTGGTCCAGGGATCTCTCACTCTCCTCTGGCTGCTGGGGCCTCATTCAAGATGTTTCGTATTTGGATCTTCATCTTGCATTACCCTCGTCTTGTTGCTCAACAATCTTGTTGCAAAGGTCTTGGGAGAGCTTCTACCCATCATGAGATGTTTCTTGCCTGACAGCTTGGTAACAAATGATGCATTCACACACGGCTAACCCTTTTCAAATAAATGGAACTACAAGAGCCACATGCACTAACCCAGCTGATTCTAATTAGTAGTAGTTCTGGGCTTTTTCTTTCTAAATGTTCAAACACTTTCTTTTTCATGTGTCCCTCCAATTTGCACATAACTTTATAGATAAAAATGTTTTGATTGTTTTACCTCTGCCGCCTTATAGAGTTGATGTATGGCCTTAATTTTATGTGAATAGTTGAACTGGAAGTATGTGTAATGAAAGAAATGTTGCTGTGAACACTTTTCCCCCACTGTACATGTACTGTAGGTGATCTGTAGTCACAGATGCACTATCCTGTATTTTTCCAGGAGAGAAAAACAAATATGTTTTGGATTAAAAAAAAAAAACAACAGGCAATTTGTAGCAATAGGAGGAGGCACCGTGCAGACCGCAGTGAAAAATATCAACCCCCACACAAACCCACAGCATCAAGCAAAACAAAATCTCAAAGATCATAAACAATGAGCAGCTAAACAATAGGAGGAGGGGTAGAAACAATAGCATCGTCCTCAGGACTAGCCACTAACATCAAACATTTATTGAATATTTGTGTAGTTACCTGTGACTGTCTCACAAAAATCCCGTGGTTCTCCTCACAGGTGAAGTAGCGCTTGCCCTGCACTGTGCCATCGTTCTTGCCCTTGGCCTCATCCAGGATGACCCCCACCCATTTTCCAGAAGCAAAGAGCGTTGCGCCGATGAAAGCCACCGTGCCGTGCTGCCCCTTCCCGATCACCTCCACCAGGGAGCCCACCTTGACGGGCCGTCCGCCCCCATCTGAGCTCATCCTGCTGCTGCCGCTGCTGGTGGTCTGGGTGGGACGGGGGGAAAAAGACACAGAGAGCTGGACTGTCAAAACAAAAGTGATTTTACACAAGTCAAATCAAGTCAAAGGACTGAAGAGAAGACTTATACAGACCCCTCACACCCTGTTACTGTACCATTTGTAATGTGATCAATTGCATCTGCAGGTATTTTGGGGGCAGCCATATTATAAGATGTCCTCAATTAGTCTCCAGTATGTTAAAATCTATAGTGAACACGTACTCTGCATTTCATTTCTATCATGTGGGAATCTAAATAAGCTTTAAAATGGCTCACAGACCGTGGCTGGCTGCTGAAAAGTGGTTTGCGTCATTCAGGTCCACCGAGTTGTGCAGTAAGGCCTTGTCCTGATTCTGCACTCTCTAAATGTCAATGCTTGCTTAAACAGCACTGCTCTTGCTTTCTAGAGAAGCTATGTGATCGCTCCATGGCAACAATCTCCAGCTTTCATATTGCAACTTTGATGTGAAGCATTTCAACAGGGGAAAATTTACTCAAGCTGCAATACTGTGTAATCAAATGATCCCGGATAACCCACTTTACAGTGTGATGTCCTGTAAAGTGATGGTGACTCAGCAGAACAGCACAGAGAGGAACAAATACCTTGAGAACATGCTCAGACTCACCTTGAGCCTACTGTAAACATACACTGTGTGCTGCTGTTTAACAACACACAACACATGAACCAAAACACAACAGCAGAAAAGCCATGTCAACATACTGGATCTCATGAATAAGCATCAACTTCTTTACACACGCTAAACAAATGTCTCATTTTGTTGTTTTAAATAACCATTTTCTTTGAATCATTAAAAACATTTGTAGAAAAGCATTCATGTGTCATATCATTACATTACAATATAATACAACATGGAATATTACTGAGAAGAAAAGAAATGACCAACTAATGCACAACATTAAAACGGCTGAAGATTTTCTTTTATTCATATCACTCAGCTATATGGCAACAG